TCAAATGGCATTTGGCAACAACAGCTACATCGGCCACAAGAGGTCGTAGATACCTGTAAACCATAATAAAGGTAACAGAAAGATATGAGATGGAAACACCAAAACCAAATACAGTCCATAGCCCAAGATAATTGCTCATACAAGAGTGCTTCCACCTTCGAAAAGTCAGGACACATTACCGAGTCGCAACTATATCTATGAACTTTAATTTAAAAGACAAACGAGATATATCTACCTATCTCTTAAGGTTTTACAGCATATCCGATCTTGAAGAATCTATCCGTATTACTAGAAAAAAGACTTGACCATATGGAAAGAGTAGGAACCCTGATTGCAGGTGTACATATACCTCCTTGTTGGCAACTGGCTTAACAAATCAATGAGGAATTCCATGAACCTCTCACAATACAGCACACAAGCATCATCAACTTGCTGAAATCCATTAGTATCAACAACTTCATCCTCCTCAGTTTGAGAATTTTTCTGGGGAAAAACCTCATAATCTAGAACCTGTATACAGTGAAAAATGGATATATTTAGCTATGCAATCTTTAAACTGTTTGAAATAATTGACCAAACAATAGTTTAGTCTCTCTGTACACAATATACCTCCAGAAACTCTTTAATGAGATTTCTCAAGAAATTCACTTCAAGTGCAGACGAGGGGTCAAAAAGCTCTCCTCGTTTTGAAGCCTCCTTAGATTCTCTCTTTATCATTCTCTTCCATTTCTTAATTAACTCCGGGTAAAGGCAAAGCTCCATCTACAAATGATTGAAGTAAATCATGCATCCAATGGTTCAAGAATGAATTAAGTTCCATCATCTTCGCAAATATCATAAAATGTATCTCAAACTCTTATTTCAAAAAAAAAAAATGTATCTTAATCTCACCTGAAAACGACCAAATGACAAACTGTGCCAACATTGCAAACTCGCTAATCTCAGAACAGTCTCGCTAACAACTTCGTCTTCCAAACTCTGTCATATCAAGAAGTTGAGCAAAATAACATGAACATAAGAAAAAAAGCTTCAAGAAAATTTTATTTCCTAATGATTTCTCAAAACAACTTATAAAATGGAAGCATGACGAGATTAGGTTTGCAATAGTAGAGTTACCACAATGTCAATGCAATTAAATAAGCATGCTTTTTTATGCTTGCAATATTACCTTCTCTTTTCTCATACAATTCTTTGATACTGCATTTGGGTCCTAATTATGATAACTAGTAGCAACTTTTAGAAAACAAGAAGACTAATTTGAAAAGGTTAAGAGAAATATAAGCCTGAATTATCAGGTAACTTAATTCAAAGCAATAAAGAATAATTCGCACATCACTAAAATAAGCTGATCCTAAACAAGAATTGTTGTTTGGGAGAAATAAGTCAAAAATAAGCCTCGAATGATGGGGCAAGTATACACCAGAACAAGTACAAACCTGGAAAGCATTGATCACAAAAACTAGATAGTTCGTCTTCTCTGCAATAGTTAGGTCCCTTCCCTACAATCAGATAAAATTATTAGAGATGTCATCTAAATGAGTCAAACTCCTAATAGCTTAATAACTACCAAACTGTTTTGGCATGCAATATCACAAAAACAGGACATATATGAAACATTTATTAGATGAAAACATTGTCAACTACATATAATGTAAAAATGCATAAAGTACAACATCAACAAGCAGATTAGCAACCAAGCTATTAGAATATAGTTTCTCCCCTGTAAAGCAGGATATTTGTTTCCAATACTAGAATTAGATAATTTCAGATCCAAAAATGAATTTTGGAGAATATTATAAATTGCATCTCTTCAAACAGTTTGTTCCATGAGCAAAACCATTTGGTTAGTTCTTCATAGACATACTGAACAAAAATTTTTTACTCGGAGTTCTTGCCTCCTTTTTTCAGTTCTACCCAGTATAATGAATGGTGCTTGCTACTCTATCCAGATATGGAAATAGATATTAATTGCAATAATAAGGTATAACGCTGTTTAACTAAACACATCTTAATTTACTGTTGCTTTCTAATCTCTCCCCTAAAGGCCATTTTTTTGCAACTTCACTATATACATATATATATATTTCAAAATTCTCATAAACAGTTCTCAAATAAATATTTAAACATATGGTTTTTAGGACAAACTCTTGAAACCACTTGGGATATAGAGCTAATAAAGGGAAAAGGATAGGAATAGGAAGATTTAATTAATTGAGCTTTGGCCAAAGCTGACTCCCATTTCCCACATGAGGGAAGCCAATCTGCTCAAAATATATGTCAGAAACAAGTGAGAAACCTACATACAAATATATGAATCATGAAAGAAGGGAAGGAACACAAACCTCCTTAAGCCGAAGAACCCGCTCAAGGAATCCCCGGAATACACCTTTTCTGTCATAAAAAGATATCCAAGCTGCTACATTCTCTCGGAACTGTAAATTTCAAATATGAAATTCATAAATGACTTGCTTCCTCAAAAAAACACATAAAAGCCTCACAATTTGTGTCACCATTAGGAAGTGAATATAAACTGCTTCATTCCAAGATATGGAACACAACACAATGGAGGTTCATAGTTGATATACATGTTTGACTGGAGTCTGGAGTCAGGAGTGAAACACATACTTTTACTCTAGATTTTTTTCACATTTACGCTACGCTGACATAAAAATTAGTAACAAATGGAGGGAAGAAAAATGAGTTTTAAAAGAAAGGACCATTGTTTTCATTGTTTGTATAACTAAAATTTGAAAACGATTGTGAAAGGAAATTATTGTCGTAATATTTTGTACAGTAACTTTATAAAGAAGAAGAAAAGATTAATCATTAAAAAAAAAAGTCAATAACTTGATAAGAGATGCTTATCATCTCTTACTTTTCTTTTACTAATTTCTATCTTTTATTCAAACAAGCTAAAGGATAGTAAATATCACGCCCTTTCTTTTCCTCACTTTCCTCAATACTAAGATAGTGTTAGTTTTCAGCACAGCTGAACAAACTAAGATATAAACCAAAAATTTTTTAGGAAACCCATTTTGTTTTTTCCACACAATCCTGAACATACTAATCAAAAACCAAATGATATGAAAATCCACTTGAAGAAATGGAATTTTGAGTGTTACACTTACTTTCCATATATTACCTACTGAAACATCCTGAAACTCTATTGCAATTTGACACTTAGAACCTCTCACCCTTTTATAAGTAAAATGTGCTTTCTGTTTCCCAGCAAATGACATAAAAGCCAAAGAGAGAATGGATGTAAACCAAGTGACCAACGAAAAACCAAATGATAAGTGTTAAATGTGTGGGATATAATTCCCATCTAAATGCTGCTGCAGATATCAAACCCACATATGCTCAAGCTAAAATAGAAAGTTAGACCCACTCACCTCTCAGAAAAACTTAACTCCATTCCCATGTTTCCCTAATCATATCAAATTCATTTCCAATTCAAATATCATTATCTCAACTCAGGAAAGTTAAACAACAATCTCCAAACTTTTTTTGAAAAAACACCAGAAAAAGTTACACAAATCATAATTTCCAATTGTACTCTAACAATTGGAAATTATGGTTAAACTAGAGTTTCAAACTCTGAACATTGAAACATCTAGTTAAAACATCCCAAAAATTTTCTCCCCAACCAAGCACAATTATAGAGACCCACAAGTAACATAACCATAAATTAATAAACAAGTTAAGAAAAGCTGAAGACCCATTACCTTCTCATTTACCATGAGTATCATAGACATCACATGCTCGAACGTAGCAGTCTCGGTGTCAAAATTCGGCCATAAATAGTTCTCCAAGTACTGGCTCACTTCCAGAATCATCACCCGCTGCAGAGGCACAGGCTTGCGGCCCGCTTTCAACGTCAGCTCATTATAGTAAATATCCTTTACTAGCTCAGGATCAAACTGCTTTTCGCTGCTTTCGCCACCAGTTTTGAGCCAACTGGCAGCCGCTATCTTCGTCAACCTGTCGCGTTGTATATCCAACAAGGTTATTGAGTTGGGAAGGGATGACCCGGGCTTCGAATCGACGGTTTTCTCGCCTAACTGAGTCGGCGACTCGACCGGGTACTCGGCAACTCGGTGCCGCTTGAAATCGTATGCACCAGTTCCGTACACCTTCGTCATTGTGGGGTTCTTCTTTTTGGGCCTTGAATTAGGGAGTTTATCATTCAAAAAGAGAAGATACTGGAAAATTTACTAGGATCATTGAAAATGGAGGAAGAATCGTTGGCTTCGGGTTTTCTGGGTTATAAACCCTAACAGTGGATTGGCTGTTTCTCAGCGAACCTAAAGAAGAAGGTATAATTTTAGAATTATTTTTTTATAATTTCATAAAAATAATTAAATTATGAAAATAAGAATAAAAATATATCATACTAATTTATCAAAAATATAGCATATAATTTTCAAATTTATATTCAATTAAATTAAACACATAGCAATAGTATAACATAGTTTTATTTTTATATTTAAAAATTATTAGTACATAATTTACTCAATTAAAACACAAATTCTATTTAGATTTTGAGATTTTAAATATATAACTGTAACGGCCCTGGAAATTTAGAATGAAATATGTGT